TCATAGGTGGATCAATTTAATACCTTACTTGAAGAAGTCCTGCAGTAGTTCTGCCCTTGTGGAGTATTCCCCACCCTTCTTCTTACTAAGTGAGTATGAGCCACCCACAGATGGTCTTGGTTTTAGTTCCAAGAGAATTCTGTTAGAGGGCTTTGGTCCTCCTGGAGCCCTTTACCTCTTTTTATTTAGCCTTTGTGGTAGTACACTTGCTCAGGAGATTGTGTACCTGTTCAGCCCACAATAACTAAGGGATATTATTAACCTGATAATTGACCATATTTTTCAATCATATTGTGTAGATGTTGAGCAGTAAGAAAATGGATATGCGCGGCTCTCCAACTTTGTGGTCTCTAGAGAACCAATTTTGTAACTCACTTACTTTTCCCAGTTTAATTTCTTTTCCATCAACTTTGGTCAGGCCATGGTAAAGGCACTTGGATTCCCTTCTTCCATAGTAAGGTTTTTTGAGTGAGAAAATGTGATCTTTCCAATAAGAGGTAAACTTGATTCTATTTATTACTTCTGTAAAGGAGGTTAAAAAAAATGCCAGGTTGAAAGGGCTTCACATAGGCCCTGAGGCAGTGTTCCCTCTTAGAGACAAATCTCTAAGCCTGGGCCTGAGAAAGTTCTATCTCTCTCATATAGAAGTGACAGGAAGAGGTCTATTAAATTGGAGGTTGTATCTATCTTTATTCTAATCTGATCAATACTACACATCTGTTTTGATCACTTTTAATAGTGTCATTTGTTTATTTATTGATTCATGTAGTCAGGCTTTATTGAGCATAAAGCTTTTGATGCTCAGGATACACATGGAATAAGACATGAGGTCTCAGTTCCCATGAAGATTTCATTCCATTTGGAGGAATAGGTCATAGTCAAGGAAACAAATAACAAAGTAATTTTTGATGACACTAGGGAAATTCTCCCTAAAGAATGGCATTTGAGGTATACCAGATGGATGAACTGGCCAGTCCTGAAAAGGACAAGTGGAGAATGGAGAATGGAGTCAGCTGTGGAGTCAGCAATGGGCTGGGTCCTAAGGATGCATTTTTGAGGCATAGAAGGAAGGTCAGGGTATTGGCTCAGACAGCCAATGGAAGACTGATAGAAGATAAAATTATGGAGGCCACAGAGGCCAGATCAGGTAGGCCTTTGTAGACTATGAGAAATTTTGCCCTAAGAATGTTGGGAAGATACTGAAGTTGTTAAAGCAGGGGGAATAAACTGCCCAGGGAACTGATTGGACTGATTTGTTACATGAAAAGATTACTCTAGCAGGTGGAGAGCAGGTGGTTGGAGACAAAGAGAAAGAGTTCAGTGGAGAAGATGTTGCAGTTACCCATGGGAAGTGGATTGAGACTCAGGCCAGAATGAGGATGGGGATCACTGACTTTCAAACCTCTCTTTTATGGGCTTAGGTGGGTGACACATACCACAAGTTCAGAAATCAATTCTGCCATCCATGGCTTACCCTAGGTAACATTATAGCTATTTTCAAAACCTAAGAACTGTAAATAGCGTATCTCTTTTCATTATGCAAACTATAAGTTTGATTTCTTTTATCAGCTGATTTCATTGTCGTGATTTTCACCAATTAGAGTATTGACCAATGAATGATATCTACAATCCTTAGGGAGATTCAATCATGGAAACAAAATGGACAAATGGACATTACTTTAGACATTCAGGTGAGGATAGCTCTGACTGCTAACAGATATCTGGGTTTTGGGAAATATCACAGAAGGTTGAACTGCATTTTCAAAAGCATGAAAAAGTATGACAGGTTTAGAAAAAGCCAGCTTGTTCACTGTTCCCAGAACACATTTGACTTGGTAGGGGTATTGTTAGGAGATGAGAACAGAGAGACTCTGACAGATAGGAGTTTGCAGCAAGTAAAGGGCTACAAAGGCTGTACAGTAGTGCAAAGGAGGGGCATGCTCAAATGGAAGCTTTAGAAAGATACCTTGGCTACATGGAAGACAGTGGATTAGAGACAGTGAGGCTGGAGGCAAGGAACATGATTAGGAGGCTGATAACATAATCCTAAAGTGCAACTGGAGTCCCTGGAGTCAGGGCCAGAAATGGGTCTGGAAGGAAGGGAAACAATGTGGTGTATATGTAGATGGCAGAGGTGGCAGGTTCTGGCAGCTGATTGGATATGGAAGGAGCAGGAAAGAGGCGGTGGGGGGGCGTATCTGAGGTTTCTGGCTTAAATGACTGGAGGGATAGCAATACAACAGTAGACTGTTATAGCTATGAAAATACCTTGCTTATGTGACTTATGAAATAAATTAGAAGCAACTCTAAATTGCAAAAAAATGCTTCAGTTCTCTATCCTCTTCTGTGTCTTTGCGTAGCTGACCTATCTCTTTAAAGCTCCTGTTATCAAAAGGTGAGGCCTTGTTTCCCACCCCATAAACCAGGGCTGGTCCTATGATTAGCTTTCTGGCCCACAGACTGTGATGGAAGTGATGTTGTACCCATTTTTGGGTCTAGGTCTTAAGAGGCCTGGTGCTCTGAGACAGTCGGTTTTCTTGTGAACAGCTGTTATGGGAACAGGTAGACTGCTGGATGATGAGAGGTCTTGGGAAGGCAAAACAAACCCTTCCAGCCAAGGCCATCCTCCACCAGCCAGGCCCCAGCTGACCAAGCAGCTGCCCAAAATGCTATACCTCTGCATAGCTAAGCACTGGTTACCAGAATCTGACCCAAACTCTTGGTCTGCAGGATCATGAGCTAAAGACATGACAGCTATTTTAAGCTATTAAGTTTATGGGTGGCCTGTTAGAGAGCAAAAGTGAGGTGATGCAGATATTTACAAAACAGGTGTAAAGTTGAAATCAATTTTGGTGAGGTTGCCGGCCATCATCCTATTATATAAGTTTTACTGAACTCTGCAGTGCTGATGGAGGACTAAATTAGAATTAGAAGCCTCTTGATTAAAGATCTCATAAAGTTCCTGGAATATTTTGTGTAATGAATCAGTCTGTATATGTTTCCAGAGAATGCATTCCACCCCTTGATAACTGGGTCCTTATTCCTACAATAGTAAGGCTGTGCTAGATTTAGAAGACAGGATGACCAACACTCTTGGTTTGTCTGGGACTCTCCTGAAAGTCTCACATCCCAGAAAATCCTTCAGTTAGTCCTAGGCAAGCTTGGACAGTTGATCACCCTCCATTTCCACTATACTTTGCTGTTTGAGAGTCAGCTATACCCACATTCCCCTACTGATGCCTGACACTGAGGGGGGCTTTACTGTTGCCCGTTTTATTGACAGTGAACCTGACACCCAGGAGGAGGGAAATGCTCACTCAGGATTGACAGCTAGAAGACAGAGCAGAGAGAAATTGTATCTTGATCAGCCTGGTGCTCATGCCTGAGCACTAGGCATGAGCTGTTTGTCTATATCTGCTGCTTCTAGGGCAGCTATACCAAGCCCTTATTGCTGGGCTGAGAAGGTGAGGGCAACATCAAAGACATACTCCCCAGCAGGGCAAACCTCTCTGTTCCTGTGGTTTGCAAACACTGTTGGTGAGTGCCGACACCAAGAGAGAAGAGTCAGTGGCTAATTCTGCAACTCTCTATGTAGAGTGGTGACTCAGGCCACTGGCAGCCCTGATGCCTCCTACAAAGGCAGGAGAGCTGCTGCTTCCGTCTCAAAGTGGCCATGTACATGAGTCTCATAGAAGAAACTCAGCTCAAGGAACCCAGAAAAAGATGATATGTAAGAGGGAAAAGGGACAGGAATAGAGAACTGGTTTCATCTCTTTCAGGAACCTTGTTGATTCTTTATCGTGAACTCTTTGTTTAAAAAAAATCCATTTTTCATACATTCAAAATTCCAAGCTGCTGAAAATTTCCTCCTGTGATGAGACGCATTCAGAACAAAACGTGCGGACTGATTTGTCTTTCCCTGAAATCAAAGGCAGTATTCTAAAGAGATTGCGTTTGCCACACAAAGGTGGCAGATGTTTGCCAAGATTATAGCTGCACAAGCATTCTGCATGCTCGATCTTGGGCGCTTTTCGTTTTTGAAAAGAAGCAGTTTTGTGTCATTCCTGGATGCCTGGGGAGCTTCTGTTCCTGACAGTTTGGAGCCATGGCTCAGGCCAGGTGTAGATGAAGGCAGCTGTGCTGACCTGGCCTTCTATACTTTGGCTGTTCTGCAGAGTAGTTTCTGGGCAAGGCTGGGATCTTTTCTTTCCCTTCTGGTGCTTGGGTGGGACGTGCAGCCTCATGTATGTTAAGCATGTGCTGTATGACTGAGCTACACCTCTAGTCAATTCCTAAGTAAGATTAGGCCGAAGTACAGCATAGGTGGAATTAGTCAGTTCGCTAGGAGTTCCTTTAGCACCCATATGTATCCAGGGTGGTGTTAGGTCTTCTGGGCAGTGTGCTACACTTTTGAGAGATGAGATCTAGCTTTTGCGTTAATTTGACATTCACTGAATTTCTTGAATTAACGAAGTGATAATGCAAACGATGGACTGTTCTTTAACCTGTCCCACCACATCCTTCAGACCTCTTTGTCTTTGTTGCCCTCCCCCAATTCCTATACATCCCTCAAGATCCAGTGCCTGTGTTAACCCCTCCAGGAGCTCTTCCCTGACACCTTCAGCATATGTTCCTTGCTTACCTTTCCATGCTTCTATGATACCCTTTGTGCATACAAGATTCAATACCTCAGTAAGTGTAGGTATCTGTTTTCTTCTTTATCTCTTCTGGGAGGGACTGACAGATTTAATTTTGCACTTGTTTGTTCTACTGTTGTTGCTGGGAATCATGTTCAGCTAGATCCTGAGGGTGGTTTTCATCATTTTATGGTCTGATTCTTGTCTGTCAGAAGCAGAAGGCTCAGTTTCTCACAGTAGGAAATCTAAAGGACATATAGTCAGTAGTAAAGAGGGAATCTTGTGATCTCGTGTGTGTGTGTGTGTGTGTGTGTGTGTGTGTGTGTGTGTGTGTATGTGATGACTCATGTGGCTTCTGGGACAGTAAGCCTTGCCAGTGAGAGGAGCCAAACCTTACTGATCCACAAGCTTGAGTGGAGAAGTGACCTATGGCTGTCCTATCCTCAGTGGTAAGTTCTTTCTTTTCACAGTCTGCTCCACGCCAGACAGGCACTAGGTGTGAGGGTAGTACTCTGAGAGTTAAAGGTATGGGTTCTGCATTTAGAAAGATTGGGTTGGAATCTTCACACCACTACTTACTAGTGGTATGATTTAAGACCAGTTTCTGAATCTATCAAAACTCCTATTTTCTTAGTTACTGAAGGGAATTCATACTAAAATTCAGCCTTTGTAGTGCCCCTATTATGTGCCAGATGTAGTATTTTATTCTTTGGGGTAAGAATCATGCAACATGAAATGTTCAGTGTTAACCATTTTTAAGTGTACAGTAACATTAAGCACGTTCACATAGTTGTGTAACAGATCTCCAGAACTTTGTCATTTTGCAAAACTGAAACTCTATACCCATTAGACAACTTCCCACTCTCCCCTCCCCACAACCTCTGGTAGTCACCATCCTATTTTCTGTCTCTACCAATTTGACTGCTTGAGATTTCTTCATGTAAGTGGAATCATGAATTATTTTTGTTCTTATGGCTGGATTATTTCACTTAGCATAATGTCCTGTAGGTTCATTCTTAGTGCAGCACATGTCAGAATTTCTTTCCTTTTTAAGACTGAATAAATATCCCATTTTATGCATGGACTATGTTTTGCTTATCTAGTCATTTGTTGATAGACAGTTGTGTTACTCAGACTTCACTATTGTTTATAATGCTACTTTGAACCTGAGTATGAAAATAGTTCTTTGGGATATTGCTTTTCATTCTTTTGAATATATACCAAGAAGTAGGATTGCTGGATCAGATGATAATTCTGTTTTTCATTTTTTTGAGGACTAGTCATATAGCTTTTCATAAGTCATGCCATTTTACACTCCCACCAACAGTGTACAAGGGTTTCAATATCTCCACATCCTTCACAGCACTCATTACTTTCTGCTTTTTTTGGTTGCAGCCATTGTAATGGGTGTGGACTGAAATTGCATTGTAATTTTGATTTGCATTTTCCTAGTGATTAGTAATGCTCAACATTTCTTCATATGCTTTTGGCCCTTTGTTTATGATTATTTTTCAAGAGATGTCTGTGTAAGTCCTTTGCCCATTTTAAATCAGGTTATTTATTTTTTGTTGAGTGGTAGAAGTTCTTTATATATTCTGTTATTTATCTTTTATCAGACATAGGATTTGTAAATATTTTCTCCCATTTAGTAGGTTGCCTTTTTTTTTGATTGTGTCTTTCAAAAACTATGTGTAAGATTTTTGTGTTTCATCAATATATAAATCTGTTTTTCAAAATATTTTATATTTTTATTGACATAGTAATTATATTTATGAGGTACAATATGATATTGCAATTTATATATTGCATTATTTAATCAAGGTAATTTGCACCCATTGCCTTAAACTTTGATTTTGTCCTTTTTATACGCAGAAGCTTTTAATTTTGATATGGTCTTATTTATTTATTTTTGCTTTTGTTGCCTACACTTTTGGTGTCATATCCAAGAAACAACTGCCAAATCCAGTGTTATGAAGTGTTTTCTTATGTTTCTTTTGTGAGTTTTAGATCCTGTGTTTAGCTCTTCAATCCATTTTTAGTTAATTTTTATATATGGTGTGAGGTAAGGGTCAAACATCATTTTTTTCCATGTAGACATCCTGTTTTCCCATCAACATTGTTGAACAGACTCTCTTTTCCTCAATAAGTGCTCTTAGAACCCTTGCCAAAGGGACTTTGTCTGCACACATGCCTCTTTATTTTATTCCATTGGCCTATATGTCTGTCTTTATACCAGTATCACACTGTTTTGATTACTGTAGCTTTAAAACCAGTTTTAAAGTCAAGAAATATGAGCCCTCCAAATTTGTTTTTCATTTTTAAGGTGTTTTGCCTATTGAAGGCCCCTTCAAATTCCACATAAATTTTAGGATCGGTTTTCCTTTCTCAATAAAAATGCCATTAGGATTTCCATAGGGATTGTATTGAATCTGTAGATTGCTTTGATTAACAATTGACCTACTAACTATTTTAGGTCTTCTATGCATGAGCATAGATAGGCTGTCTTTTCATTTGTGTCTCCTTCAGTTACTTTCAGCAATATTTTAGGGTTTTTCAGTGTGCAAGTCTTGTATTTCCTTGGTTAATTCTTTTTGATGCCATTGTAAACAGAATCATAGTTATAATTTCCTTTTTGGACTGTTCATGATTAGTGTGTAGAAATTCAGCTGATTTTTGTATGTTGATTGTATGCTGCAAATTTGCTGAATTTATTATACAACTTAGATGTGTTGTTGTTTTATCTCATCTAATTTTCATAATCACCCAATGAGGTAGGCATCAGTACTACTCTCATCTTACAGATGAGGAAACTGAACCTCATAGATCTTGAGTAGCATGTCCATGGTTACCTAGTGGGAAAGGCTCCCAACCTGGACAGACAGTCAGCACCCTGACTTAACATCCATTTTAGCTATGACGTTAATCATTTTATGATAATGGGTTTCATGGTAATGAGTTTCAGGAGTTAATATTTAAAAATGCCTGGAAGAAGGACCTAAATATTCAACAAGTGTTTGTACATATGTCTAAGGTATGTATGTACATACATACATATCTGAGTTTGCAAAATGAAAAGACATAACATCCCAAGTAAAGAGAAAATCTAAAAGAGAATTTCGTCTAAAATATATTCTAGCAAAAATTTCAATTCTAAAGGCAATTTATTTTGATAATTATAAATACCAAGGAAAGAAAAGATTCCTCACAAAGAATACAAAGTTGACTGTATTTGGATTTTTCCTTTGCCTTCTTAAGTGTAAGAGTCTTTTACAGGGGTTTTAAGGGAAAGGATTGGGATCTGAGCATTTGGAAGATTTCATTGTAAAAGCAATAGGTAGGCATTTTTGGAGTTCTCAGGGCTCAAAATAGACTTATACTAGAGATGTGAGACAAATCAGCATTAAGAACGTGAGAATAGGGAAATTCTGGTAGTTCTTTTAGGACACTTAGATCCTAGATTCAGAAATCCAGCAGGGACTCTATGTTTGGTTATTCTGCATCCTTGAATGTGGTGTCTGCAACTTCCCTTATCCGCCTTTCTGACTCTCCCTGAGACCAAGAGGTAGTCTCATTTGTAACTATTCTATTCCCTTGTTTGTATCTGTTTTTTAAAAAATACAGATTATATAATTTAATTTAGGCAAATAGGGATTAGCAGAGCCAAAGTTGTTAGTGGTTAGCTCAGGTCCCACACTTAATGACTGTGCTGTTGTGGGATTTCTGGTGAGTTCTCCAAGACACAGCTGTGCCCAGCACCAAGGTCCACTACCTCAGAGCAGAACAGGGACTGGTACAGGCCTCCAAACCTGAGCTGCTGTTTTACCTGGCTTCTCAGCTTTTCTGTGGTTTGGGAGCAGGGACTCTATGAGGAGGCAGTGATGTCTCCTTTTGGGGAGGACCAGAGTGAAGCTGAGTTCAGAGCGGATGTTCCTGCAAGCCTGCACTCAGAGGAGGACACAGCCTTCCTGCGCCAGGCCTGGCCCAGAACCTTGCTGCCTGGTGTTTTTCTTTAGGGAAGTCTCTCAGCTCCTTAGTTAGAAAACCAAGAGTGAGTGAATCTTCCTCTTTCAAGATAGTCTTTCCTGTTAGCCAAAGGGCCAAAGCAAAGGGAAAGACTGTGGCAAAAAGGGCCCTGACATGCCACAATCATGTTCTGGCCTTGCTGTTTTTAGAAAAGGAACTCTTTCCCATGGTTAGGGGAGAAGTCAGACTTTCCTGTTCCTCTTGGGCCAGGCATGAAGCAACTTTCAGTCCTGATGTTGACACCAGGTCAAAGCCTCAGACAGTCTCCCTGGGCTAAGCTCCTTGGACTTCTGCACTCTGACCTTTCCAAAAGGAAAATGAGTATCCTAGTATAGCAGCAAGGCCTGTGCATGGCCTTGGTGGGAGGGCAGCAGTAGTAGGGAACAGAGGGAGGAACCAAGGCTCTGGGGCCACTGAGATGGGCTGGATCACCAGTTCCATGATGATTGGCTGGGAGAAGTTAGACAAATTAGCTAACCTTTCTGAATATCAGCCTGACTATTAGGAAAGTGGGAGAATAGTACTGTATACACAAGGAATAGGAAAAAAAAAAGGGAGAAAATTTATGTGGAGAGCTCTGTGGAGGGCTTGGTATATAGTAGATAATCAGACATTATTATTATTTGTGGTCTTGGGGACTGAGCCAAGGGCCTGATGCATGCTGGGCAAGTGTTGTACCTCTGAGATACATCCTCCCTTCCTTTTTAAATTTTATTTTGAGACAGGTTCCTGCTAACTGTCCAGACTGGGCTTCAAATTGCACTCCTCATTCCTTGGCTTCTTGAATAGCCAGGTGTCACCACACCCACTCCTTAGACACAGACATTATCTACCTTCAAGTTTATGGAATGGTGTATCTGAATGCTTAGTCTGAGCAGTAGTGGTATGAATGGACAACACATGTGAGGCAGGGTTGTGCACTTACAAAGGGGACTGTGGACTCAAGGAGAACTGAGTTTAAATGTTTAACTCTGTTAATTATTTTTATACAGAGTGCATTTGGAAAAGTTAATTCTCTTCTTTGAGATAATTTTCTCATCTTCTACTTTCCTTCCTTGCATGGTTCTTATTGGGGGTGGTGGTGGCAGGAGGATTGGGTGAAATAATGCACATCCTAGGCATAAGGCATATGTGCAATATATGTTTCCATTAGTAGTAAGGAATCAAGTCTACTCAGTGATAGTCTGAACTTGCAGATAAGACCAGCAGGAAATATGTGAAGGTGATACAGTCCTTTGACTTTGTAGTGTATAAAGAGAATCAAAAGGACACAGTAAGGGCAAAATGGCTTTCTTAGTTGGATCATTCATTTTTTTCATTTTCCCAAGGACTGACTTATTTTAGGCCTTTGTAACATATTTGTCACATTCAAGAAAGCTTTGTTAATGCCTTGCCAACATAGTTTTATGTGGTCAGGACTAGTTTCCTAGGCAGGGCCACATGCAGAGGCCCAAGGCCATCTTGAAATTCTTTGTTTTTCAAGTACAGTGTAAAGTTTATGTTACAAAGTTTCAAATATTCCATCATAATCAAAGGAAAGGACATTTTTTTCTAAATTTCAGTTCTGGAATTTCCACTTGCTTAAAAAATTACACTGATAAAAGTACAGTGATAAAAATTACACTGGTAAAATTCCCAAGAATTTTGAAAGAAAAAAAACCCTACTTTCTCCGTCTTTTCTTCCTTTTAAAAGTATTTATTCCTGAGTTCAATTCCTGCTACCAAAACAATTTTTTAAATTATAGTTATTTAAAACTTTTTAACCCCAACTCTTCAATACCTGAGTTATCCCCTGTTATATGCTTTTTTCACTCTCTTGGTTTTTGGTTTTAACCAGCTTGTCCTTTGGCATGACTTGTTACTTTTGCTTAAACAGAGAACTTGGTGCTTCACAACTTGTAGAAGCTTTAGATGACGGTACCTTTTCCCATCTAGAACTCAAGCCCTCTTCCCAGCTAGAACTCAAGCTCTCTTCCTTGGACACACAGGACGGAAGCTGCACATCTCAATCTGACCTCCCCTGGCTCACGTAGTTCTGGGCCTTGTCTCTTCAGCACACTCCACACAGAGCCAGTTGTGGCCCTCCACCCCCATCAGCACGTCTTCACCTCTAATCTTTGTTTCCTTGGCACCATGAACCTGCCCCCAAGCTGCTCTGCTTTATGGAGATTTTCAGTACAGCCTTTTAGCCTCCTGCTTTTGCACACTCAACGCACGCCATAGGCAAATGCGGCCTTGTGTTTGAAGTCCCTCAAGTCTCCAGTGTCCCTTTAGCCTAGGAAGACCTTCAGAAACTCTTAATAAAATTTTAAAACAAGGGGCCTTCATTTTCACTTTGTGCTAGGCCTCATAAGTTATGTAAAAGGTCTTGTGTACAGGCAAATAAAATGTTTGTTGAAAGTTAAAGGGGCCTTCATTGCCTCTTTCTGTAACCTGTCAGGTGCTTCCTGACCTGCCTCGCCTTCCTTTGCTGATCTCTGAACTCCATCTGCTCAAGCCAGTCTCTTAAACAGGTGAGCCCTGTCCCCACTGCCCACCCCATCCACTGGTTGGCTTTGCCACCATTCTGCCTGCATTCCACCGTAAAGCCCCACCTAACTACTCACTACCCCAGCTACACTTTGCCTTTTTAGCCTCCTTTAAGCTCTTCACAGTTCCATGTTTTCTGAAAGGAACTTGTTTGCTTATTTGTTTATTTTCCCTTTGGCACACAGTAGAAAGGCTGAAGAATAAATGGAGTTGTAGTGCTGGGATTTTCATCTTACAATGCTGATTTCTCAGGACGCTCTCTAATGGGAAGGTGAGCTCAGTGTTAATATCATGAACTGTAGAGGGGGATAAGAATGGCTGTGAGGTTCACAGCCCTGTAGTTGGCCAAGGTGGCCACCATTCCCATAGTGTCCTAGCAATAGAGGCTGTGGAGGGAGTTGGGGTAGGGGTAGCCTCCTCAGCCCAGTCTCGCGGGTCAAGTCCTTGCAGCAGGAATCCACTGTGTGGCTGGGGATGTAGAAAGGTCTGATTGCTGGTATGAATGAAGAGACAGGAAACAAGAGATCCATAGCAATAGAAACATTGTATTGGAGACCACTTAACACAATGTCCCATTTTACAGAAAAGAATATTGAGGCTGAGAACAAAAACATATTCCATAAAAGTAATAGTAAAAATCCAAATTAAGTACCTATGGGGGACCCCATCCACATACACAACAAGAGGCAGTGTGGTGCAAAAACCTCAGTATAAGTAAGGTATTACATGAATTTGTATTGATAAAGTGCTTGGAGAGTTCTGTCACAAAGAAATTGCTGTATAAATATTCACACGTTAAAGACAAATCTTTTGAGTTCGTTGGTTGTTTCACGAAATTTGGAAGCCCCTCACTTGTATCGTTTCATTTACCTCTCCCAGCCACCTGGTATGGTAAAGCTATTGTGATTTTTCTCCATTTTACAATCAAGGAAACGAGGGCTCAAGCTAGAGAGTGGCAGAGCTGGGTGTGGCTCCAGTCTGGCTGACTTTGGGGCTGGGTTCCTGGCCACTATCCTGGGTGGCTTGAGGGGCAGAGCTGTCCTGGCACCTATGTGCTCTTTCCAGTGCCAGGCCTGTGACTGGCCTGAATGGGAAATGCTGCTGATTCACATTTGCTGTGCTGGGAAGCTGCCTTACTCATTGGCTCGTTCATGCCACAAGCATACTCTGTATCTCCCCAGGCAGGCACTACCGAAAGACAGGTAAAGCTAGGCATTCCTGTGGGTTAGAGCAGCAGGCTCCCAGGGTGGAGGGGGCTGACAGAAGGTAGGATGCATACTGCAGAGCCCACGATCCTGGGCTTGCTCTTCGTCCAGGTCCTTGCACCCCCTTGCTGCAGGATGCAGCTTTCCTGGGGGTCACGAGTGGCTGGGATCCTGGATATACCAGAGGAGACCAGGCAAACCTTTGAATCCAGGTCACTGTCCAATGCCCCCACTCAAGGCCTGTGCATGGAAGTTTGTGAGAGAGATCACTTGTTTTTGGCTCTAGATGTGTCTGACAGTCCCACCCAGTGAGTCCACTAAGTTGTGCAGAGAGAGGATAAAGCCCTGGCAGAGGCCATTCCTGGGAGCTCAAGAGCCTTCAAGAATGACTGCAGATTCACCATCCCTACAACTTTCTAACCTCTCCTACTTGGAATTTCCAGGCTGTCCTGCTTCTTTGAGACCTGTCCTCACACCCTGTCACCAGCACCCCAACAAGCCTTTTGGAATTTAAGGTGGATTATTCAAGGTGAGTGTTCCCTTTTCAATTCTCAGCAGAGATGCCCAACCCTATGACGTCCACTGATCTCATTTACCCATTCATTCATGCATTCATGCATCAATGCATTCATTCAACAAATATTCATTGGGTTCCTATTGCAGGCTAAACTTTGTACTGGGCTCTAAGGATACACCTGAAAATAAATTAGTCACAGCTTCCAACATCGTGGAACCCACATTAAAAAGTGTTAGCAACAATAAAGCAAGGAGAAAAATAATTACACATTTTACAAGGTGCACGGAGGGACAGAACATGGTGATATGAACTGGGGCTAAATCATGTCAACTTCAGAAAGACAACCGTTAAATATTCAGGGGCTTTATGAGCCAGCTGGCATACATAGGGATTTTAAATAACTAAATTATATAAATTTATAATTAAGTAAATTATATTAAAATCAAAGGGAAAACATTACTTCCTAATTATTTGACCACTATTTATGCCCTTATGTTTATTTGCTCTGATTCTCTCTATATTCTGGAAATGACACAGTAATGAGTTACTGTTCTTCTCTCTCCAGCTCTGCATTCAGTGACTTACAATTACTAGTTTGGAATTGACTGAGATGGAATTTTTTTTTTTCCTGTACCTGGAATCAAACTCATGACTTTGCTCTTGCCAGGCAGGCGCTGTGCTGCTGAGCTAAATCCCCAGCCCCAAAATGGAAATATTTATACCATGAGAACTGACAAATGCAGCAAATTAAGGCTTTCTTTTTTTCTTTAAGGACTAATTGTTAACATTTATAAGCACTGTACTGTGATATGAGAGAACAGAGGGAATTTGACTTTCAGTAGATCCGTCAAGGGAGAACTCTCTAAGGAGAGATATTTTTGCCTAGAGTGAAGAGGAGAATGAGTGGACTTGTAACTAGAGGCATGAAGTCTCAAGCATAGGGATAAATAAGGGCAAATGCTTCCACTTCTGGGAAGGGAAAGAAAACCAACATGGTTGCTTATGAGTACATGGAGCTATGACCATGATGAGTAATGGAAAGAGGAGAGAGAGGTGAGGTTGGAAAAGCTGGCAGGGGCCAGACTACTCAACGCCATTTTACACTTTACAGAAGAGCAGCAGGAAGCCATAAGAGGGAGGAGGAGGTGATTCAGGTGCCCACTCCTGGTTCTACCTGCAGCAGTGGTACCCAGCTGTTGGAGGAGCACACAGCTTGACTGCACCTTCATGAACTTCACATCTCTGCACATTCTGCTTCATGGCTTCTCCAGAACCTCGGGGGACGAGGAGTGTCAGGAAGTTAACTCTTCTAGGGGAAACCTTGAATCTTGAGACCATGGAACCTCGTGGATAGAAGCCCAAGCCTCCTGCTTTTCAGATAGAAAATTCTGCTATCTCTCTTTATAACTCCTAGAGAGAGGCCCTGGTATACTCAAGCCCACTCTACCTGTTGTACTGACCTTGATATATTTGTCTTTTCTCCTTTCCCTATCTTTTTCATCATCTTTCCTCCTTTCTGCTTCCTGGGATCACTTCCCATGTTAGCTACCTGTGCCAAAGTCCTTGTCTCAGGTCATGCTTTCAAGGGAATTCAAACTAAGACTGGGTCACTTGAGGGTGATGTGAATGCATTGAGTGTGGAACTGGCAGATGAGGGATGATGTGGCAGGGCCATTTCTGCTCACTTAGATTCTTCTACCCATGGCTGGGTCATCTGTACTGGTTTCATGATTTCCCTTACCCTGGGTCTTGGAATCAGTACTGACTATGGATAGCTTAGTTTTTGTTTCAAGCCATGAGTATATCAGCCAGGAGGTACATAAAACCCAGCACTACAGCGTGGGGACTATTCCAGAGACCTCACTGCATTTTGTCATGATACTCAGTTTTCACTCCTGCTGCATAGCTTGGGTCTGGCTCCTGATGCTGATCATCCTAGGCTAGCCCCACCTTGTCTGGCTCTTGTCTCCTCCTGGGGGTATACTCATCCTGTCTTCCACCAGATTCTGTCACATGTGCCACCTGGATCTGATGGTTTGGGGATCTATCTGGAGCTCTGAGAACCCCATGTAGTGGCATAGAAAATCACCACCACTGGCCATATGCTTGAGGAAGATATAATCACACAGATGTACACTCTATCAGTAACTCTCTGTAGGTACCTGTGTAGGCTCTGACATGGGAAGCTGACCCTATCTACCCAACCTTGGGGCAAATAGGATACCCAGCATTGCTGCTTCCTCAGTTTCCCCAGTTCAGCATGAGCTATCTATACCCCACTTTCAGCAGACTAAGCTAGCATGGGGAGAAAGTCTGAGGCTGAGCCTCCATGGATGGCAGGTAGCTGTAGGAGCTTCATGTGTCTCAGAGCACGTGTTCCCTTCCTAATTTTCCTCCATTTTGTACCCCCTGGCATAGGCTGTCCTTCAGGACACAAGCTGGTGAATTGGTGGACCCCACTCCTGCCTTGGAAATATGCTCATTTGCTCCTTCCCTCAGGGACCTGGCTTCCTTCCCTACCAGCAGCCCCTCCTGCTGTTCCCTTGTGAGGCTCTCCAGAACAATCTGACTCATCCTCTGACTCAGGTAGTCTATTTTTGTTCCCACAACCTGCTTCCTGATCGGCTGGAGATCACAGCTGTCACCTCTGTACATGTGTGCCTGTGTGTGTGCAAGTATAAGTGCCTATGAGTGCATTTTGTGTGTGTGTGTGTGTGTGTACCTGTAAAATATGTATGGCTGGTACATACATATGTATATGCACTCATGTGCTTGTGTGTATACACGTATCACCTGTATAGGTACACCTCCTCCACAGAAGGGCAGTTCTTCTATCCCATCCCTACCTGTATGTACATTCTCCAACCCATCAGGAGCATACATGCATCCTTAAAAAGCCCTTGGAAGAGTGGAAGGGTGGTCAGTGGGGATTCACACGGGAATCTGCAAGTTAATCATTCCAAGATCATCATTGAAGGTGATTTGGATAAAGAAAGACCAACTTGATGATCCCATCTCCTCAACCCTGAATCTGGAATCTCTACACTGTAGAACTGGTAGGAACCTAAGGGTTGAAGCCAACATCTCGTTTGATACCTTGGGCCTAAAAGACCCACATTGGTAAGAATCATGCTCAAAATTAATCAGCAAGCAAGTAACCAAGCTGGATTTGAGTAGTCATTGATTCATGCTGTCAGCCCAAGCCAGACTGCTCCATGCTCTTTCGTCTTGCCCCATCTCAGGCAAGACTCTCACTTCTCTGCCAGACCTGTGCTGTTCAGTGTGGTGGTCACTGGCCCCACGAAGCTATCAAATGCTTCAAACACGGCCAGTACAAATTGAGCTGTATTCTAAGTGTGAAATATGTACCAGATTTCAAAGATTTCATATAAAAACTGGAAAATATTTTAATATTTTTTCTATTGATTACATATTTAAATAATATTTTAGATAGATGACATTACATAAAATATATCCCTAAAATTAATTTCATCAGTTTCTTTTCCTATTTAAAATGTGGCTGTGTTTTTTGAGTTTGTGTGCCTGAGTGTGTATGTGTGCCAGGGATCAATCCCAGAGCCTCATGCAGGTCCTCTTTTCACTGAGCTGTACTCACAACCACCTCTCTCCTGTTTTATATATAAAGTTTTACTGAAACACAACAGAGTCATTTACATGGAGGGCATAAGAGATTTTGCTTTGCAGTGGCAGTGTTGTCCTGGAGACTCCATGATGTGCAAAGACTGAAATAGTTACTTTCAGGTACTTTACAGAAAAAGTTTGGTCACCCTTGCACTAGATCACTGATTTCATTAAAAACAGGGGTTACTGGGTTCACCTAGAATAAAAGCTTAAGAAATATCAGTTGAATGAAGGAATGACTTGACAAAATTTTGGAAGGCAAATGTGTTAGATTTCCAGGCAAAAAAATTAGACTGTGTCAAAGTGTGGGCCTAGAGACAACATATAGTATTTCAAATACTTAAATCAGCTGCCTGTTTGTGGCCTGGCCTCCTGTTTCCCTTTCCCAGGCAAAATTTCTTCTACCACCACAAACTGCAACAAGTTGTTGGCCATCTCCCAGAACTTTAATGTCCGTTGGTGGAAGGTAGCACTCCTTAGCATGGCCTTCTGGGTCTTCCTGCACCATCTCACCCAGCCCTTTGGTCTGGTTGTCTGCCATCTCTTTGTCCCCTGGTGCTCTAGGACCGCTCCCACAATGCTCCACCCATTCTGGTCTTCCTGGCTTTCTGCATACTCTTTCTCTGCAAGTCAAACATCCACCCTTTCAGGCTCAGCTCCAATATTTCTTCCTTGAGACTCATGTGGCGTTTTGCCAATTTCAGAGTTTCTTTTGAATAATTGTTACCGTAAGATAATGACAGGTGAGAATTGGTTCCCACAGCACGTTTTATCTTTCCTCACTGTCATATTAATAAATTAAAGCAGAAAATCTCACTTTTTACTTGAATTTTTAATTTTTATTAGTACATGTTTGCAGTACATAATGATTACATTCATCATGGGGATTTGGTACATGTACATAGCATGCCTCAATTCTTTTTTATGTCACCCTGCTCTTCCTTGCCTATGCCACACACCACCCTAAATTCTGTGCATGTGTTGTCTTTTAAAATTCTTACAACTTTATGAAATGGGTACTATCTATACTCATTTTATAGATGAAAAAATTGAGATTCAAAGATGTGGTGTAGAAATTGTGAGTGGTCCTGAAATTCAAATTTGGGGTGGGTGGACTGAGAGTCCAAGCTCTTGATCTCAGCTCTGTTCTTCTTCTTGAGATGATATCCTGTTCACTGCGTCTGGGTCCATTGGATCCTTCCTTTCTGGTCTCTGTTCCAGGTCTTAGAATACATCCAACTGGGTGCAGCCCAGTGTGTACTCTGAGACCTGTGTTAACTGTTCTTCATCTCTGGGTCTTCATGTTGATTCCCCCTGGGAAGTTCTCCATGATTGCACAGATAGGGATAAATTCAGGATATATGTTTACAAAGCACCCAGGTCTTCTTCCATAACCTTGTGTTTTGGAGGAGGGGGTCTCACTATATAGCCCAGCTTGGCCTGGAACTTGCTACCCTTCTACCTCATACTCCTGAGTACTGGGATTACAGGCATGAACCTTCACACCCGGCTTCCTATCATAACTCTTCTCACATTTTCTAAATGATTCATTTATCATTTGCTGCCCCCCTGGACTGTAGCACCATGAAGGAAGAATTTTATTACAGTGTTTCAGCAATACCTTAGCGTCTGGTGTGTACAGAGGCACAGTGAATACCCAAACAGATGAATGACGCTCTGTTTTATCTCTTCACCTGGATCTCAGCCTTGCCAGTCTCCAAATCCATAGTGAAATAGAACAGCATGAGTTTCTGTTCCCATGCCCTCCCCTCCAGGAGTGACTGAGAGTTGAAGACACTGGTATACATTAAAAGGAGATGAGCGATTTCTGATTGCAAGGTCAGTTATGTCTAGGTTAGAGCCAAAGCTTGCGACAGACAACACTTTCCTCAATTCGGCCCAGGAAACTTGCCCCAACCACCCCTCCATGCCCTGTCGAGGGGCATGGCCTGTGGCTGACAACATAGCAGAAAGAGGTGGGGTGGGTAGGTCCCCAGTCTGGGGATGAGCAGAGAGGCCTATGGCCTGAGAAATGAGTCAGACAGACTCTCCACCCTGACTCCACCCCAGGAAGTGAGGGAAGTGAGCTGATCAGTCACATACACGACAGCTCCTTGGAGGAGTTTGATCCCAATTACAGCCCAAGGGCTCCCTATTCTCTGTCTCCTCCCACCTCAGTGGGTGTGGCTTAACAATTTTGGTTTTCACCTGATTCAGGGAAGGCACTAGCAGATGTGGCCTGTCGTAGTCAGAACTTTTATATCTGCCCTGCCTGTCCCCGAAACACCTCAATGCTTGGTTGGTGGTGGGAGGCACAGTTGACATTCTAGGTAGGACCCCTAAAAAGCAGGCCTCATGGGCATGCTTAGGTCTAGTGTGAACACTCGTTTTGGTTTGCCTGGGCCTGTTTGGTTCTAAAAACTGAAAGTCTGGCTTCTCAGAAACTCCTTCAAACAGTCCCCAGCAAGCCAGAATAGCTGGCTACTGCTCCTAAGTGCCTAGCCCTTGAGAGATCAGTTTCAGCATCAGATACTACTGGCTGCTGGGAAACTCTTCATCATTTTTAGTACAAGGATGCTGGTCACTTTTGAGGCTTGTGGTGGGCTGGGGCTCCTGACATGCAGCAACCAGCTCAGATCTGTTAATCTGGTCAGACCACAAAGTCTTTAAAACTGATCTTGTAGATCCTGTGAAGTTCCTGTAAGTGGAGGGACTTCAGGATCTGATGTACTGGGCTACTATAGTGACCACACTGAGCAGGCCTGAATTTTGGGAGACATGTCCATATAGAATGGAATAAGCTAGCTCAGAAAATACAATAAAAATATAATGCAAGGCATTTATATTATTTAAAATTTTATAGTAGTTAGATTAGAAAAGAAACAGGAGCCATTAATTTTAAAATATATTCTATTTAACCTGATTATCTAAAATACTACCATTTAAGTACATAATAAATATAAAATTAATTAATATAAAATTATCAATGAGATCTCATACTTTCCTTTCTTCATTCTCAGTGTAACTTCTGTATGCATTTCATACTGTCAGCATATCTCAGTTCCAACCAGCCACACATCAAGTGGTCCATGGCCATATGTGGCTTATAGCTCCATATTGGATAGTACAGAACTTGGCCCTTTGACAGGAGAGAAAAGAGGTCTTTATCGAGACAGGTCTTGTAGGGTCCATTTTATTAGGGGGGCATTTTGGGTCTTTACTGATCAAGATATATCTGTATTTGAAAGTCATGGCTTGCTCTAGTACTATACTAAAATTTTTAGAGGAGGATTGGAATTGAATGCAATTTGGGGAAAAAGTGGCTTTGTCATGTTCATTTCTGTAGAGCAGCCTACACTAGGAGGAATGTCCATGAGTGTGCTAGTGGAGGAGCTCTTTTATTATTCTCAGTCTCTGCCAGCATTAATCCCAATGAAGCACATCTCAAATAGGCCCTAATCAAAGAGACTCCCACTAGAGCCTGTGACTATCCTTCCCACTGTCTTTTGACCCTGGGGAAGCAGTCTGTGGACTGCATTCTAGGCCTGGCCCCATCTGATACTCTGGTAAGCCCCAGTGCTTCTTAGGAATTGGTTTTGCAAATGGACACCCACAAATCTACAAATGGCATACTTCAGAGGCTCCCAGAAGTATTTCTTCATGGTATAGATTAAGCACTTCTATAAAAATTTAAGTCTCCTGAGCTGTGTTTCCAGAACATTTAGAGTAAAAAGATAGAAAAGATAAGTCTAAATGTTGAAGAGGGTAGGGACCACGCAGAACTTGTGGTGGGGATATAAAGGACATAGCCACTATGAAAAAGATATTGGTGGTTCCTTAAAGAGTTAAATAAACATCTAATCTGTGACCTAGTGATTCTGTTTCTTGGTATTTATCTAGGAGAAATGAAAACATATATTTATAAAAATCTTTTATAAAAATAA